TGCTGGCATAAGCAATGACTCTCTTCCTTCCCTCTTGTTCTTGACATAACACCCCACCAAGTCCTGTGTAACTGGCATCTGTGTGGACCTCAAACGGTAAATCATAGTCAGCGAATGCCAAGATTGGAGGTGATGTCAGACGATCTACCAGCATGTCAAAGGCGTGTTGACATTCCTGTGTCCATTTGAATTCTGGGGGCTGTACGTTTGCACCCCCAGCCTTTTGCCTTTCCTACCATATGGTCCTCCCATGAGAGCATGAAGAGGAGCAGCAATGTTTGCAAAACCCTCCACAAAGCGCCTATAATATCCGGCAAATCCCAAGAAAGATCGAACTTCTGGTACATTCTTAGGTATAGGCCAGGTCTTCAAAGACTCAACTTTCTCCGGGTCAGTCTGGATACCCTGTGCAGAAACAATGTGGCCAAGGTACTTTACTCTCTCCTTAAAAAAATCACATTTAGAAGGCTTAACCTTCAGGCCATATTCATGTAGACGAGTGAGGACAGCTTCCAGTCTTTTCATATGCTCCTCGAAAGAGGATGAATAAATGATGATATCATCCAAATATACAAGACACAACTTCAAATTGTAATCACCCATACATTTCTCCATAAGACGCTGAAACGTACTCGGACTATTACATAAGCCCATGGGCATTCGGCTACACTCGAAAAAACCTACAGGTGTTGTGAACGCAGTCTTTGGCTGGTCTTCTTTGGCCACTCCAATTTGCCAATAACCACTCTGTAGATCAATGGATGAGAACAAACGAGCCCCCTTGAGAGCATCCAAGGTTTCCTCAATTCGGGGCAAGGCGTAGGAGTCACGGATAGTGCGTGCATTTAACGCACGGTAGTCAATGCATAATGTGGTAGAATGGTCCTTTTTGTCCAGCAGAGGTATGGGTGCTGCCCAGGGACTATGGGACTCATGGATGACCCCACTGTCCATCATACTCTGTAACAGTTCTCTCAACTCTTTGTACCGTGATGGAGGTATTCTGCGGTGACGCTGTTTGATAGGTGGGCCTTCAGTTGTTGGTATTTCATGTTCAACAGCAGTTGTAAATCCAAGATCATTCTTATGCTTAGCAAATACAGGATACATTCTCTGCAACAGCTCCTGTGCTTGTTCACGCTGACTGGACGTCAATGGAGACTCACTCAAATCAAAATGCAATGGACCATTGGGAGTCTGACTGTAAGCACGAGCTCGGGAAGTAAGCCCTGGATCAACCCCTCTCGCACACTGACCATAGGTCTCATGGTAAGAGTTGACCGTGTTCATCTCTACTTTATCAGATTGTCTGTGGGACACTGCTTCATAGTTCACTGGGTTTCCAGCCCAAGTGACAGCATGTATCTCACCGATCACATCACCTGGTCAGATGATGCGTTGTGGATGTGTACCGGAACAAATGACTTCCTACCCTTACACTTCAATGTAGCAGCCACAGGGGCAACCACCAAACTGCCTGACAGCCTGGAACACTCTGTTGATTCCACCACCGTAACATATTGATCACCAGATGGACCACCCTTAGTTTTACCACTGATGATAGTTGACATTCCTGGCTCAATTTGAACAGGTCGCCGCAAGTTGGCTCTCACATTTCCCAAGTTACCATCACTGCCTAAGTATTTCTCTCTTGCACACATGCGGCGATAGGCAGCAGCCCACGCCAAGGATTCGGTTTGCTTTCTGGTTGATCCTCGCTGGTTCTGATGATACTGATGACACTGATGGATTAGGTTAGTACCAATAGTCAAGGGCACATGCTTATTGTATCCGTTAGGACACTAAACACGTCATCACTTCCAAATACCTTAGGTGGAAAACTAATATCAATTCCAACGTAACCTAAGATTGGAACCTCTTGACCACCAGCACCCTCTACTTTAAGTTCTGCAATGGGCCTGATTGGACAATCAAACAGATGCTCCTTGTGAAATGCCTCACTGATTGTAGTCACCTGTGAGCCAGTATCAACTAGACTGGTACATGATACACCATTAACAAAGGCAGTCTCTTCATTTGGATCACCAACAATCTTCCCCAGAAGAGGTCTGACATTACC